GGTTAAGAATCTGTTTGCCAATGCAGGGAACATGGGTTCGATCCCTGGTCCGGGAAGATTTCACATACCACGGGACAAGTAAGCCTGGATGCTGCAACTACTGAGCCTGCGCTCTAGGGCCCAAGCGCCGCAACGACGGGAGCCTGCGCATTCCAGAGCCCGTGCTCAGCAGCAAGAGAAAGCCTGCACACAGCACAGCCAAAAAATAACAAATAAAACAAATAAATAAACTAACCTTTTAAAACCACAACAAAAAGAAACCGGGAGAACAGGATGCTGCCTGACAACATACACTGCACAATAACCGAGGCAGCAGTGACTGGGGTGGGGCCTGGGGGTGAGGCTCACCCCGAGGAGGAGGGGGAGGAGGCAGGGTGCTCCAGGCAGGGTTGGCAGTGAGGGGGAAGGTCCAGAGGCGGAAACAATTGAGCTGGTCTGGAGGAAGAGGAGCAAGACTGGGGCACCAGGAGGAAGTGAGGTTTCAGAGGCCAGCCTGGTCCCATGGGGGCCACGAAGCCTCAAGAAGGAGGCCAAGAGCCAAGCCCTGATATCTCTCTGGCTCCGGTGAGCAGCAGCCAAGGTCAGAGCTGGGACGGAAGGTTCTGGAGGCCCTGATTGGGCACATTTCACACGAGAACAGTCCCCAGCACTCAGGGCTTACGAGGTCCAGGGGCGGTTCGCAAGGAGGAGCAGGGTTCACCTACGAGCCACTGAACTTCCTGGTGGCTGCGGTCTGAGGTAATTTTTAAACTAAGCCCATTAAAATAATGGCTCACTGAAACTGGTGTGGACCAGGAGAAGTAGGGCACCTCTGTGCGCTGCAAGAGTCAGAGAATTCATTTTTCGTTTTATTTTTGGCCATGCTGTGTGGCATGTGGAACCTCAGTTTCCAGACTAGGGACCGAACCTGTGCCCCCTGCAGTGGAAGCAAGGAGTTTTCATTTGATCTTAGCCAAAAGGCCCAGAAGCAATGGAAACATGGAGTCTTAACCACTGGATCACCAGGGGAGTCCCAGGAGTCAGAGGATTGGAACCTTAAAGTACCAGGAACTTTAGACCCCATAAGAGGCGATGGCCACCCCAGTCTCATGGGGTGCCAGGGCCCCGAGGCAGTCACCACTATCACCCCCATTTTACCTTCTTACCTCAGGTAAGAAGGCTGAGACACAGAGAGGGAAGCTGCTTGACGGAGGGCCCAGACAGCAAGAGGTGGCAGCCTGGCTCTGAAGTCCTGTCTCTGAGGGCCAGCTGAACAAAACTTTCATCTCGGGGAGCCTTGCAGCCCTGTGTGGCCGCCAGGAATCTCTAAAAGCCCCAGCCACAACCATGTCCCGCACTGAGCTCAGCCTGCTCGCTAGGGGTAAGGTGTCTCCCCCAGTCCAGGGACCTGTGCTCCCCACCTCGAGGTCACTCTAGACTCTGCCCTTGCCCCCACAGTACCACCCTGGCCCGGGCCCCACCACCTCTCCCTTGGCACCAGGCTCACCGCCCCCCACCCCCGGCCTCCCCACCCACCCTCCTGCCTCTGCCCGGCCCTCCTCCACAAGTCAGCCAGTGGGCTAAGCCAGTCTCTCCATGCCCGGAACACCACTCAGGTTCCCAGTGTCTGGGTCCCTCATCACACCTGCCTCCCGGCCCCTCCCCAGCCTCATCTCACAGCTTCACAGCACAGCTGCTGCCCTGGCTGGAAAGTTTTCCCCAAGCCCTGGCTCAAAGCAGAGCCAGTGCCTGATACTGTGGTTGCTGTTTAGTCGCTCAGTCGTGTCCGACTCTTTGTGACCCCCCCGGACTGCAGCCCACCAGGCTCCTGTCCACAGGATAGAAACACTGTCCACAGGCAAGAACACTGGAGTGGGTTGCCATCTCCTTCTCCAGGGGATCTTCCCAACCCAGGAATGGAACTCGTGTCTCCTGCGTTGACAAATGGATTCTGAGCCACCAAGGAAGCCCAACGCCTGATGTACCCTCCCACAGTCCCCTGCACTCTCCCCTCAGCCTGGCCACAGCAACGCCATGTCTGTCGTACCCAACAGGCTGAGCTCAGAGTCGGCCGGGCCCCTCGGAGAGCTCATACTGCCTCCCTGGCATCTGGCCGAGGCCGAGCTCACATCTGCATTAAGGGACTTTGAATGCCACGGTCAGATGGGGGTGGCGGTGGAATATGCAAGCTGGGACACAGAAAGGAGCATGCCCACGTGGGACACCCCGGGCCTCTCTCCCCGAGTCCAACAGGATTCACCAGTGTCTTCATCACCATGGCTCCCATCCCATCCCTTCCTGGGACCCCTGCCCCAGAGCTGGTGGTCCCTGTGGCCTCTTCTCCACCTGTGACCACAGGATCTGGTCAAACCACCCCTAAGAATGAGTTCACGACTGGGCTTTTAGGACGGCCTCCCTGCGTATCCTCAGGCAAGTGGCCTCAGCTCGCTCCTCTGTGAAGTGGGACGACAGGAATGGTGATTTCAACATCACGCCGGGTCAGGCTGTGAGCAGATGTGTGCTCTCCCGGGACTGTCCCTTGTCACATGCTTCTCGTTCCTCCCCGCCACTAGAAGGAATTTTCAGTTCCTCCAGCAGGCCACAATGGGCATTGTTGCCTTAGGGTCTTCACAAGCAACCCCTCTCTGCTGTGAAGGAGAGTTCCCATTCCCCAACACACCCCCAAGCACCTGTCAGCCTCAGCTCACACATCACTTCCTCAGAGAAGTCGTGCGAGACTCCCTTCACCACCACCACACGCACTTCCATCTGGGGAGGGCCACGCCTATGTGTCTCCCTCTTGGTCCCCACCCAAGGGTCCCTCGCATTGACCGCCAGCACTAACAGGCATCAAGAGGGAAGGTGACAGGGCTTTCCTGGTGGCTCAGTGGTGAAGGACTCGCCTGCCAATGCAGGGGTCACAGATTCGATACCTGGTCCAGGAAGATCTCACATGCTGCGGGGCAGGCTAAGCCCATGTACCACAACTATTGAGCCTGTGCTCCAGAAACTGCAAATCACAACTACCGAAGCCTGAACGAGGCAACTACTGAAGCCCGCACACCCGAGAGCTCGTGCTACACAAGAGAGGCCACAATGAGAAGCCGGGGCACCCCAACTAGAGAGCAGCCCCTGTTTGCTGCAACTAGAGAAAAGCTCTCGCAGCAATGAAGACTCAGCACAGCCAAAAACAAATAACTAATTTAATTACATTAAAGAATAGGAAAGGCGACAGGTGGTGGCAGCAGCCCTGGTCCTACTCACCACTGTGCCCCAGCCTGGGACCAGCTTGTGGCAGGAGCCCAGTGCTCCCTGGACCACTGTCGGGTGACAGTCACTGGTGAGGTGATGGGGGAGCCCTCCTGCCATGACGAAGCCTGCGACCTTCCAGTGCAGGAAGCCAGCCAACCTGCTCTCCCAACAAGCTGTGCCGAAGCCATTGGGATGGCACCACACAGCAAGGGCCTGCAGCGTGCCTGGCACTGCTCTACGGGCTGTACATGTATTGAATAACATGGTCTTCACAGCAACTGACAAACGCAGTACTATTATTATCTTCACTGTCCAGACAGGAAGCACAGCTGTGAGCGGCACTCCTCCTCAGGGGCCAGACAGCCAGTAAGCTACAGCTCCAGGGTTTGAACCTGGGCAGTATTAGCTCTCAGCCCCCACAAACCAGGGCAGAGGGTTTTCCCAGTGTAGGCAGAGACCAAAAGCATCAGCATGACCTGGAAACTCATTGAAAATGCAGATTCTCACCACCCTCGGCCACCAACCCAGTGAATATGCAACAGAAAACCAATGTGACTCGGATCCCACTGGCATCTCACAATCCAGGCTCTGCCACTGGCATTCCTGGCACAGCTGATTGGACACTTGAACCCAGAGGAGGCAGCCGATTGGCTTGCCACTGGACCAATCTGTTGCCGTCTCTCACTAGTGTCACACCCTCCTGCAATCCTGTGGATTGGGTGAATGAAGATGAGAGGGCAGGACTGTGGTCAGCTGAGCTGTGGAGTCTGAGGTCTGACCCTGCCTGGGTGCCCATCCCAGGTCTGGCACCCACCAGAAAGGCAGGTGGTTAAACCTCAGTTTCCCCATCTGTAAAATGGGGATATGTCAGCAGCCTCCCCAGAGTAGGGGTGTTTAACACAGCCTGGGGTGACACTGGCACCCCAAGTGCTGAACCAGCTGTGGCTGACATTCCAGGTCAGTAGGGAAGACTCCTGGGGGCTCTGGAGAGAAGAGAGGTCCCACCTCCAATGGCCCTTTTCACCCCTTCCAGCCTCTGACCTGAGATGCTTTTACAAGGAAGCTAGGTGGGTTTCATCCTGGGAGACATGCCCATGTCATATCAGACTTGTGTAGGAAGAACAGAGGCCACAGAGGGGGGGATAGGAAAAGTCTACATATGGGCCATTCTACATGCAACAGGTCAGGTCTCTCCCTAAAGTCAGTGCTGTAATTCAGAAAGAAGTAGTGGAAAAACAAGATTAAAAACAAGAAGTGGTGAGAATGCTGCTCTCATGAAAAGAGTAGACATGACAATGAAAGGCAGCATGGTATTGATCCCAGCAGTTGTGGAACCAGCCAGGGAAGATATCTGGAGTACAACTGACAACCCGAGTATGGACTGGGATAAGGGAACATGCAGAAATGATGACTTTTCTTGGGTGTGGTTCTGTGAGTGCAAGAGGGTGTCCTTATTGCAAAGGGAGTGCACCAAAGCCTTTCGGGCTGACGTGTCAGTGTCTGCTATTGAGTTTGAAAGTGTCCAGCAAGAACGTATCATCTACGATAGAGCAAAAAATGTGGCACCTGGCGGCCTACTCACAGCTGATACTTGGGGCAGGTGGAGGCATTGCATGAACCGTGTTTCAACTTCCTTGCCCACCGGGAAAAAGGGAATGTAGACCCAAATGGCCACCCAGGACCCGAGACGCCTCGGAAGCCCCCTGGCTCCCACTGGGCACAGCCGCCACGCTTGTTTCCTGTGTGGGCTGCCAGCCGCCCCAGCGTACCTGTTTTTGAGAAGATGAGCTGCAGGATGAGAGGCCGCCGAGTGACGATTCCTGAACCTCGGGGAAGGAAGTCCCTGTGGGAGGGGAAATGGACAGAAATTACTCACGAGGCCGGCTAGCAGGAGGCAGGAAGTGTGACCACATGTGGTGGAGCAATCCCCTCTTGCAATCTGGGTGAGTTCAGCAAAGACATCCACCCAGCAGGGCACCAGGGAATGCTCTGGCCCTGGAGGGTCCTGAGGCCACGGAGGGACAGGGGAGGGACTGGATTGAAGGCTGGTGACAAAGGGAACCCTTTCCCTTTGGCTGGCTATGTGCCAGCCCCAGCACGCTCAGAGGCCCCTTGTCCTGACAAATGCCTGGACCATCTCCCCCAGACTCAAAAGAGATCAGTATATATTTTGCAGTTTTTTTATTTATAATTGAAGGATAATTACAATATTGTGTTGGTTTCTGCCATATATCAACAGAGATCAGTACATTTCTGACCTACATGTTTTAAAGTAATATAATCCCATACATACGATATAAAGACTAAAATAAAAGGAAAGTTATTTAATGACAAAATACGATGTTTCGGGACTTCCCTGGTGATCCAGGGGTTAAGACCTTGCATTCCAACACAGGAGGTGCGAGTTTGATCCCTGGTCGGTCAGCTAAGCTCTCCACCTGCCTCACAGCTAAGCTCTCCACCTGTCTCACAGCTAAGATCTCCACCTGCCTCACAGCCAAAAAACCGAAACATAAAACAGAATATTGTCTTTGTTGTACACCTGAAATTAAAACGACACTGCAAATCAGCTACACTCCAACAAAAAACTTTTTAAAACACCAGAATGTTTTAACAAATTAAAAAAAAAAAACAGACTTAAAAAGAATTACAATGTGTTTCATGTCCCCAAAAGACAAATTGAAAGAGGTGGGAAGTGGATCACTGGTTGTCTTGGGGATGAAAAACAGAGTGGTGAGCTTTCTGGGGGATGGAAATGTTCTAAAACTGGACTGTGGTACTGTTTACTAATACTATAAGTTTCTTTAAAAATCACTGCATTTGAAATGGGTGAATCTCCTATCATGTAAATGATCCCTCAATAAAGTAATTTATTTAGAAAAAAATATGCTATGGATTTACTATGGAAAAATTCAGGCATTACCTGCACTGACTTACACCTGGTTTCACATAGGGTGGGAAAACTGGAAACCACCCTGGACCATTCAGAAAGGCAACTGAGACTTCCCTGGTGGCCCAGTGGCTAAGACTCCATGCTCCTAGTGCAAGGGGCCTGGGTTTGATCCCTGGGCAGGGAACTAGATCCCACATGCTGCAAGCGAGACAGTGCTCACCACAACTAAAGAGCCTGCGTGTTACAACTAAGACCCAGCATAGCCAAATAAACATATATATGTATTTTTTAAATAAAGGCAATGGAAAGAGCAGGGGATCCAGGTGGGCAAAGGAGCAGAAGCAATATTTTCAGAGGTCACTAGGGGCATGCAAAAGATTCTATTTCATGTAAAATGGAGAAAGGCTCTAGGCTCAGGGAATTTTAAACAAGTTTGCACCCAGGTAAACATTTTGGATCTGAAATTTGTGCAAAACACTAAGCAAACATCCTTGGTGCCATCTGGCTCCCAGTACTGTGACAGACAGTGTCTCAGAAGCACCCCAGCACCTCTGTCTGACTGGGAACACCGACAGAGCCCGAGGAGGGCGTTGGTTCTCAGCACAGGCTGAGAACCTGTTCACCCAGTGGGAGGAATAAGGGAGGAAGTGTTTCCTTGCCACACACCATGCACTGTGAGGTCTGAGCCCCATCGGACTGTGGGTGGTCCCACCACACTCTGGCTGGACACAGGAGCTGCAGTGACCACACGGCAGGTGGGCCTTCGAGATGAGGGACCCTGCATAGGCAGGCTGGCTCTGGAGGTCCTATGGGAGTACTACTGGCAAGCAGCAGAGTAGGAAGCTGGAGTAGGATGAATGGACAGGCCGAGAGGGGTGGGTGAGGTGACGTTGGAGGTCACAATGAGAGGTCATCATTCTTCTTTTTCGCTGGAGGTCACAATGAGAGGTCATCATTCTTCTTTTTTTTTTAAGAGGTCATCATTCTTAAAGCAAAGCTACCTGATGGGGTTTAGGGACAGTCAAGAGTTGTTTGTTTTTTTTTTTTTTGCCACAGCACATAGCATGCAGGATCTTAGTTCCCCAACTAGGAATTGAACCCCACAACCCATGCAGTGGGAGCTCGGAGTCTTAACCACTGGGCTGCCAGGGAATTCCCTACCTCATTTGCTTTTAAAGGTGTGTGACTTTAAAAGACCCCTCTGGCCACTTCTATAAAGAAAGAATTGATGCTTCCGAACTGTGGAGCTGGAGAAGACTCTTGAGAGTCCCTTGTACAGCAAGGAGGGCAAACCAGTCCATCCTAAAGGAAATCAATCCTGAATATTCATTAGAAGGACTGATGCTGAAACTGAAGCTCCAGTACTTTGGCCACCTGATGCAAAGAGCAGACTCACTGGAAAAGACCCTGCTGCTGCTAAGTCGCTTCAGTCGTGTCCGACTCTGTGCAACCCCATAGACGGCAGCCCACTAGGCTCCTCTGTCCCTGGGATTCTTGCACGCTACCCACGGAGCCCCGCTCTAGAGGACAAAGAATCTGTGGGCCACCCCTGCCCTGCTCAGAGCACATCACGCCCGCTTCATGCAGTGTATGTAACTGTCTGAATGTGACTCCCATCCTCCCATTTGGCAGATAAGGAGAATGAGGATCAGTGAGGATTTGCAACCTGGCCAAGGTCACCAGCTTGTTCACTCACACCAACCCAACAGTGGAGGTGCTGGGGACAAAGAAGACACATCAGGGGGTAGGAGAGCTTCGGTCAGTGAGCAAACGAGTCAGGAGCAACGTGTGAACGGAGTCCCCAAGTCCCACGCGCGGGCTCGCCCACGCTGCTGTGTGTGACTGCAGCTGGCTCCTGTTCCTCGCTGACTGGTGCGCCACTGCACGGATGGACTGGTGCGTTCATCCACTAACTAAGTGATGCAGATTTGTTGTTGTCGTTATAGTCACTCAACTGTGTCCGACTCTTGGCGACCCCATGGACTGTAGCCTGTCAGGCTCCTCCATCCATGCGATTCTCCAGACAAGAATACTGGACTGGAATGCCATTTCCTTCTCCAGGGGATCTTCCCCATCCAGGGATCGGACCCATTGTCTCCTGCTTGGCAGGCGGATTCTTTACCACTGAGCCACCTGGGAAGCCCCTGCAGGAGTGGCCCACAGTCTGATCATCCACTCACTAGCTGATGTGGCTTTTGGGGGTCTTCTTCCAGCTCGGGGCCATTACAAATAAAGCCACTCTGAATGTTCTCACCTGTGCCTTTTGTTGACAAATACCTCATTTCTCTTGCTGAGTCATAGGGCAGACCTGACCTTGAACAGGCAAAACGAGTCTCCGCTGATAGATATCAGAGCAGTTGGTTCCCCCTCTCCCCTGGTGGGGGGGCGGGGTGGGGAACTGACTAGAAGGGGCAGGAGGAGACTTTTGGAGATGATGATAACGCCCTCTATCTTGCTCTGACCAGTGCATGCATTTATTTCAAAAAAGAAAACAATGAAGGTGTACATCTACAATTGGGACAATGTACCACATCTGAGTTCAGTCTTCTCAGGAAGGTCATGAATACAAGGAGGTCCAGGAAGATGCGCTCCCGAAGATTCAGACACTCAAGCACAGAGAAAGCACTCCATTAAAATCTGTCCACGGACACATTATTATCTTTTTAGTTTCCCAGGAGGGAATAGCTCAGTTCTAAAGAACTTTAAAGGGCTTCCCTGGTGGCTCAGTGGTAAAGAATATGCCTGCAACGCAGGACAGGTGGGTTCGATCCCGGGGTTGGGAAGATCTCCTGGAGGAGGAAATGGCAACCCACTCCAGTATTCTTGCCTGGGAAATCCCACGGACAGAGGAGCCTGGAGGGCAATGGTTCATGGGGCCTCAAGAGTTGGACTCAACTTAGCGAATAAACAACAGCCAGAAAGAACTTTAAAGCCCATGGAAGAGGCTAATTAAACAAATGATGACCCATTCATGTCACTTTGCAGTCACACACACATCCACAAATACATACTCCAAGAATAACAACAAAAAAGAGCTTTTTATCTCCTGACATGGAACTTCCTTCTGGGTGTATCAAGTAAGGAAAACAAAAGGTGCGGAAGAGAGTCTGTGTTTTCTAAGTAAATAAAAAGCCTTAAACCAGAGCCCAGGTTGGCCAAGGGCCTGTTGGGAGGGAGAGTCATGGCAGGTTCTGAAACATCTTTGAATTCTGCATCATCCACATGGACTACTGACTCCAAAAAATTATTTTAGAGTAGCTCACATTTGTCGAGGGCTCCTCTGGGCTACTTAACCATGACAATGTCCGACGAGGTGGGTCTGTGAACTCATTTTATGGAAGTCACTAGGCCCAGAGGCTGGGCACTGGTGTCACTCGGCACCCAGGAGTGTGGACTGAAGCCCATGGGGTCTGAGCCTCTGACCGCCGGGCCCCCAGCCTCTGGGCCTGCACGTCTGCTGTGGAAGCTGCAGGCATCTCCCCGGCCATGACTAGGCTTTCGATCCTGCTATTGGCATATGCTGTCCTGTGACCACTCTGGGTGCGTCCACGGGCCCGGGCACCGTGAGCACAATGATGACACCACAGACTGTGGACAATGAGCGCCTCAGAGGAACACGAGGGCCAGTGTGATGGGTGCTCCGGGCCCTAGCCGGGCAAAGATGCCTTTCTGGGGCTGGGACTTGGTGGGCAAGTGGGAGGGATGAGTAGAGGCCAGAGGAGGCAGAGGCTGAAGGGGAGAAGGCTGAGGGACGAGGCTGGGTGGGCAGGGGGGGCCTCACACATCAGGCTGGGAGTTTCAGGAGCCCTGGGATCCATCTGATTGTGCATCTGGAAGCCTCAGAAAGCACCAGGCACCCTTGGTCTCAACAGTCCCTGAAAAGCAGTCCCCAGAGAGGATGGATACATGGATATGTATGGCTGAGTCCCCTCGCTGTTCACGTGAAACTA